GTAAATTCCGCGATTGTCTTCCAACTATTAGTGGTCGTCCAGTTTAGAGCCACATTTATCCTATGGAAGCTTTATACATTTCTTCACTCCAATTGCTACGGCTTGAATCGATGACGGTTGTTAGTGAACGGCAGAAGTGTGTATTCGTGACAAGCAGATTGATTCTTCTTAGAGCCCGTTCAAAAGTGATGGGTAGCAAAACATTTATGATAACAATAATAATAATAATAATATTAATAATAATAATAATATAAATTTATAATTTATGAACGGCTTTATTTTGCCACAAGAGCTAAATGAATTCAAACCCACAGAATCTGAGGTGCAACCATTCGATGTGAGCCGATTTTTTCAAATCGATTGATGTCAGGTATTATACTATAGTTAGCCTCCAAACACTTCCGTATGGTCCAGGGTGAGTGTCTTTGGTTGTGGTTGGTCAATTCTCCCTTGCACCTCACGAAATGCTCCCATACGACCAAATGTTTCAAACAGTTTCTGCTGAGGAAGCCCTACTTACTGCCTTCTTGTGTCGGAGGTGTTTACCCACCAAATCGAGAAGACGAATAGCCGACATCCGCGGCTATAACCGGGTTAGTGCACCACTAGGAAGTTGGTCAAAAACACTGATTCGAAACCAACCATGAGGCCTACGAAACACACGTAAAACTTCCTGGTTGTGGCAGTGGTCACCGGCTCTACTGGGTACCTTGGACGTTTGAACCCGTGTAAACGGCGTACGATCCGTTGAACTGAACACGGGCCCCCAATGGATTGCGGTTTTTACACAGCGACCCGCTGCCTTGCGGGTCAAGCTTTGGCTAACCGAAGGCTCCGGTTGTGGATTACTCAAGAAAAGGTACCTGCCTTGACCTGGGTATTAAGGCCACATGCAAATGATGGAAAGATTTCCTTTGTTATAAAGATTATTGTACCATGGTTTGTTTGCCACCACCGGTTGAACAATTGTTATCATCGTGGAGCGGAATACTGTGAGGTAAAATTCAACGATCGCTGTCAAATGCACAATACATAAAAGATAAGTAATTAGATTGTAACATGTATGGTGATTGGGAACATTTGAAGTACGGGTGAAAGCAAGCGAATCTCTATGGTCAGCACAGGGAATAAACACTTTCATGATACATACGCACTTGGTCAAACATTCAAGTTAGATAAGAAACGAGAACAAGAATACCACTACTCTTGGTAAGCTATCATATCTTTAAGGGTCTTCAACCAATCACCTGCGGAGTCTTTTTGACTCCAATTTGCGAGATAGAAGACCCACGCTAACGAGTCGCTAAGTGAACGCCTTCATGCATCGTTTCCACGCCATCTGTTGATCGTCACGTGATTTTATACAGTGCGGAGCGGCCACTGCAAATAAGACAAGGTGCATTAGGTGGCCATTAGGCACCAAATTGGTTATAACTCGTGAAACTCCTTAATCTGAATTCGATGCGATGGCAAATTTTACCTCTATTACTTCCCGAACACAAGACAGCATACCTCTGGGTTACTAATACATTCAGGCCATCCTATCTGCAACAAACTACGTAAGCACTTTGTGTATTGTATTGTGTATAACGTTTGCAAGCACTGGAGCTCTTCTGTTCACCAATTCAAGGTCTCACAACCGAAAACAAATGACTCAGTCCCGTATACACCACTCGAGTCGTGGAAATGTGCACGGCTATCTCCTTAAGTGAAATACCACCACTGGTCCGGTGACTGCCCCCGAAAGAAAAGCACTCAACTTTAGCCAGTTCTTGACAATCTAGTTTCAAAACCAGTTGATACACAGTCTCATTACACAGCCTCATTCGCATCTTTAATGTGGAAAGCCCAAAGCGAATGGAGCAATGGAATTTATAAATCTGTCCCGCAATCCCTAAATCGCACAGATTTTTTCCGGTCACCCATTCAATACCAATATTTTGAAAACTGCTCAGTGTGTTATGTAATATTTGTCCGTACGACTAAATTGAACATGGACGGTGAGACAAGGCATCCCCAATGAGCACCATTGTACGCTTTGAACGAGCTCCGAGCGTGTAAGCAACTCTGAGGTAAGGTGTCGCGTATTTGCTAATGATTCGATGGAGAATTCGTTATCCCACCGAATTCAGATTGGGCGACTTCGCCGGTTGGGGCATGTATTGTGTATGCCCAGATATGGTCTACCGCACAGCGCCTTATTCACAACCGGCACTCCAGGTTGGAATAAGTCACGTGGAGGTTAACAGATGATGTGGAAACGAGGCTTCAATAAAAGCACAGAGCAATTAGGTAAAATCGGTGTCTCCCGTCTTCCAGGTTCGGGTCCAAAAAAACTCTGAAACTGCTTGGTTAGAGACACTGAAGGATATGGCAGCGAAGCGATAGCAATGAAGTTCCTTATATTTCTTATCGAGTCAGAATGCTTGAGAAGGCATGCATGTATAGTTTTGTTGTGTACTCTGTTTGTTGACCATAGAGGTTCACTTTCTTTGCCTCTCTCCAATTGGGCTCAATCGCTCTCCATCTTGCACTTTGTCGCTTAATTTGTGTACATTGTGAGCTTGGCAGCGATCAGTGAAGCTCGCTTCACTATATCTCGCTGTTCCGTGATAATGATGATGTCGGAATCAGTTAAGTAAACCAACTCTTTTTTAATCCACTGGGCAAACTAAAAGAGAAATTTTGCATAAAATACATAACAACAACGCAATCTAAGAACAATGAAAGCCCCACTGGGAGTGTGACGAACAAATTGGACGGGGGAGGGGGGGGCTGTTTTCAGAACTCACTTGTAATTATGCGCATCCACAGACACGGACAAATGAATCGGTTGATCGCCACATCGGTAAGGAAGTCGGTCGTCTTCCGGGAGCAAGTCGACATCGTGAAAGATGAAACAGTCAAATTGCGCGACACGACCGGATTCACGAATACCCACATTGAATAGGGACGCCCGATTGAATCGAGAAGTGCCGAGCTGACCAGAGGTAGAAAAAACGAAAACAAAAAAAAACTATTGACGCGGCGAAACCAAGAAACACCAGACCACCTGTTATGTCATAAGAATGGGGGGGGGAGTGGAGGGGTACAGGAAAAATATAGATCGTCTCATCAGAACATGTATCTATCTATGCATTTATTAGGATGAACAAAATCAATCAAACTACAATCGCTCTTGATAAAAAGATATCTCAAAATATGCAATCACAAATGCCCGGATCAATAAATTCCCATTCTATTCTGTCACACGAATCCTGTTCGATGGCAGGTAAATCGGGTTACCATTCGGAAAATTAGCATACCAGTTTGGTCAACACCTCGTGTAAGTTACCATCCCGCAACAACAACTACAACAGTACGACTATACATACAAATTAAGCACAAA